ATATAGTTAACAAAGCATTTTCTATTCTCTCTCACAGATGGCTGCCTTCAACACCTAACCACTGTGGCAGTCTCAGCTTTAGCTGTTCACTTGCACTACCTTTTGTATCCAGGGATTAAGAGCAGGGGTGCCAGCAACCTGAAGCATGTATCTCCTCCTTCTGCTATGTTGGAGCCTCCACATGAATCCATCCCAATGCACATTGCTGGAGGCTTCATGCTCAATCAGCCCCTTTACAGGGAGGAGGTCCAAGATGGACTCAGCAGGTGAGACTAGGCTGGACAGTAGAAGGTAGAGATGCTTGTGTTTAATGTATAAGTGGCCTAAAACTTCATCTGCTTCAACCCACTCTTGACAGATGATGTCCTACCATGCCAGGGCAAATAGTCGCTCACACCGGAGTGATGTCTTATCATGTCATGCACAGTTGAGCTTGTTAATTGGTTGTTCACTTGTTTGGCTCTTACTGTGGTCATGGAGGGCCACAAAAGTAGATATAAAGCCTCTTTTTAGCCTCATTTCCTAAGAAGCCATTTATGATATCCAAAAGCATAGCAAACAGTATGCTTCTTGCATTTCTAAGTTTTCACTTGATCAGGCAACTGCACTAGGCTCAATATGACATTGGGAAATTCTGTCTTGAGTGGGTTAAAGAATTTTTCTCTAGTATTAGGGAATTTCTTTGTAATGCATTTCTATATGTATGCTGTCTAATACTGAATACCTGATATTTTGATACTATTAATGCATGTTTAACTTTAAAGTTATCCTTTTTTTCTCTAAATCTGTGTCTAAGATTTTGTATGCTGAACTTCCATAAAATGCATAATTAAAGCTTTCATTCATTGAGTCAGTATACTGGTTAACATCAAATAAACAAATCTTTGTATTCTTTTAAGAGTGGCTGAGGAGGAGAAATCTCTAGAGGATAAAGCAGACATTGTTATGAAGCACTTGGAGGAGAAGAGAAACAGCACCAAGCCTCATCGTGTAAGAGACTTTATGTCCCCGCTTTCACACTATGACAGCACCTCTAAGAGTAACAGCGGCCCTGTACCACTGCCAGAACACCCTCTCCACCAGCCCCAGTACTTGGCTTCAACACACACTTCCGGGACCACTGTAGAGACCTCTATGGCAGCTTTCTACTTTGTGATAGCCAGCATAGTGCTTGTTATGCTGGTGATGGTGAGGTATGTTCACAGTGGGAGAAGGACTCATACCATTTTCAGGACCAGGTTCCGTTTTTGAGAAGCTGGAATTATCAAAATTATTTTCTTTAAGTTTTATTTTTCATTTATCAAGAAATTTCCTTGAATATTAATTTTTTTTTTTAATATATCTATATTTTTGTCTGTTGAGAGGTTATAAGTGTAGACTGCTTGTTACATGTGTTGTCAATGAGATGCTGTAAGGAGACTAGATTCTATTGGTGTACATGAAATATATATTGTCAGTTATAATGTAAAACATGCACAGAATAAGAGCAGTGTTTAGTGACTTGTATATATCCACATAATAAACAAACTGTATAAAAATGTGTAAATACATCTCTAAGAGATATTGTTGAAGTACTGCTTCATTGATTTCTGAAACATTTTCTGAAGCTTAACACTGTCAGCTCTGCCAGTGGATTTTCACTTGAAATTGAATCTCATATGTGACATACTCTTACCAGTTCTTGTAGACAGAGATAAATACTCCATAAAACCAAGTATCAGATTACTGAATAACTGTTATTAGAATGTTTTTAAGAAATATTCAGAATTTAACATAGCATAGTTACCCAGTTTTACAGTTTTCAGTATGTTTTTTTTTTTCGGGGGTGCTAACTTTTGCTTTTGCTCTGTAGATAATAACCATGCTGTTAGTAGCTTCAGGACCTAATTATATTACTTTAAAGAAGTAGTCCCAATTTATAGGCTGGAATAGTTTGTTGTGATAACAGAATAGCACTTGTCCATCTCTTCAGGACTGTAAGATATTGTGAGAGGGAATGTTTTGATACAGTGCAATTAGGGAGATCATCAATACACCTTTTATTATTTATTGAGGTGAGGCTTTACCCCCAAGCATAACAGTGAAGCCTGATTAGTTAAACAAGAAGAAATACATCTGCATGGACTAATAAAGACTTGCTTTAGCAATTATGAAGTGTAAAGTGATGGTTGATATTAAAATGATTGAAAAAAAAATCCCAGTCTTCACTTTTGTGCTTAGAAAGTCATGCCATCCAGAAAAAGACCATCTCACCAGCGTCATACATGTCATATCACTTAACTCAATGTGATCACAGTGTATAGCATATATATCAAGAGTATATTTGTCATGCATATATGGCTGGGTACTTTTGTGGAAATTTAGCTGAAAAATAGCACTAAGACCTGATTACTTCACACATAACTGTATCAAAGAAGATGCATATATAACATAAACACATATTCTCTGTTTACCATACGTGGCACAGCCCATCATTTTTACCCACTGTCCCAGGGGTTAGGCCTTTGAGTGCTTTAGCTGGGAGCAAAGTTAATAGACTAAAAGTAAAATTGTAATGAATTTGATTTGTGATTTAGGGGTTGTGATACAAAATCATTGATAAGGTATTTTATATAAAGAAAAAGTAGAAGATAACCACCTATTACTTCACCTCTCAGTAACATGTAATTTAGCTCTCACTGTTTTACAGTATTGTTTCATTATTTTCTTTAAAATACTCTTGAAATGCAGAGTTATATGCAACAGTTCCCAAACACAAGGGTGACCATAAATGTGTAGGCAATCAGCATGCTTATTTGCCATTAATTGATACACAGATAAAGTCAAGATTTGTGTGATACAGACATATAGGATAATGAGGCATTAGTGCTGTTTTTTGCCTAAATTCCTGCAAAGGCATCCTGGTGTAAAGTCTGCATGATAGAAGGACTGTAAACTATGATTGGTCTGAGATAGTGATGGTATGATATACATGCCATCCAGACTCATTGAAATAAGTCAGACACTAGCTTGGGATTAGGCCTCTTTGCCTCAGTAAGTAATACTGAGTATTGTGTAACCCAATGTGATCATGTTACCATACTACTGTGTTCATATGGGATAAACTACAATGTCCTTGTTCATCTCTGCCTCCTGGTCAGTCACATATGACCGTCCACTCTTGTGTGCCTCTTCCACACCCCAGCCATAATTATATTAATTCCATTTTTTTATGTAAGCATCATTTGTGGTCATTTGCATGTTTTCACAATCTAGATATTCATGTGAGTAATGGCAATGATATGATTTACTTTTTGAGTTGAGGCAGTGTTAGAAGGGGAAGAAAATATGGGATAAGGTGGTTGTCAAGTATTGATGCTAAACAAGTATTAGAACAAATCTGGTAAAAGTTAATTACCTGTAGCTGATATGATAAGGGTCAGGTAACTATTTTTTTTTATCATATTTTTTATCATATTTAAAAAATAGCTACAATGAAATAGCAACTCATTGCAAATACCATTTAAAGGATATAACTAACCCAGTACCTTTGCAGTTTCTTTTTATCTTAGTCTCCCATGCACTATTAGTTGGGGTCAAGAAACCAAATCTAGATAAAATGGGAGTAATTTTCCTACCATTACTACATGTTTTTCACTGCTGCTTAAGGTTATTTGTTGTTGGATTTACGGGGGCTTTTTCCCTGTAACATGTTCAAGAAAAGCTTTTCCATATATTGTATGTTGCAGGTATATGCCCTTTATCCTATGATGTATGTTAGTTTTTGGGTTAATATTCACCCTAAATATTGAAAAGGGTTAGATTCAACTGACAGTTATTGAATTTTGTAGGAATTTGCAAAGAAAATGTAAATTCTGAAACTATTGCAACAAAGTTTACTTTTTACTTGAAAAACCTGAAGTAAAATGCTTTGATGATGATGTTAAAAAAACATCCAATTGAACTTTCTTTATTAGCAACAAGTAACACTGTGTTTAATTGCATTTACTAAGTACTTGAAAGTGAAAGGGATGCGTGAGGGATTGGAAAATTATAGGGACTGCAATTTCATTCAAAAACAGTCAAAGTAAAAATCTTGGGGTATTTTGCTTCAGGGAAGACAGCTTTATCATCTTTATTCCAAGCTTTTGAAAAATGTTCTGATGAAATGCAGTAACTTGTATTTTGCAGTGCATGTGATTTTGATTTGAAAAATTGTGAAATCTCAGCAATGATGTATTATTTACATTGTCTCAAAAACAAAGTTAGTGGGCCATTTTAAAACCTGTTGAATTATTTCTATTATGTATCCTAAGTGCCTGTCTTATTTTGCGTATATTAGAAAACAGTGATATGATGGGAAGAAGTGAATAAAATAACTAAAAAAATTGTTCATGTAGAAGCCATACATGTCAAACATTATGTTGAACTTGCAAGTAATGGCATATTTCTTGAGCCTGGATTTTTTCTTCTTCTTTTTCTATGTTATTGTCATAGGCCTATCATTGTTTGGTTTAGATTTATGATACCTGATATCCTTAACATTGCATGGATCCTGGGAAATATAATGGAAGGAACATCTGGTTAAATATTTAGTCAAAAAGGTCCTTTTGTCTGAAGGTTATTTTTGGCACATTCTGTTTATCAGTAGGTGAAATTAGACTAAATCCAAGATTTTTAAAAACATTTTTGAGTGGAAAATCTTTGCTATTTTGAAGTATATTTTTGTATAGTTTTTTGGTTATATGTTTAGAACCAGATTTTATGTTTTTTAAAAAAAGAATGATAATATATATAATACTTTCAGTAAGAATGATTAATATATTTGTATGTGCCAAATGGTCAGATTTTGAGAGTGTGTGTGTGTGTGTATGCGGGTATGTGTACCTATACATGCATGTATGTTTCTGTGTGCTTGTGTGCATACATTTATGTATGTATAGGGACATAAGCATTTGCATGTGAACATTTAGGTTATGCTCTGAGATGAACAGTTATTCTTTTCATGCTTTTTTTTTTTT